GTTCGTCTGGCTTTGAGGTGTATGTCGAGGGGATCTTTGAGCATGTTCTGCCGGTTGTGTGGGTTGCACCGGTGCGACAGGTGAAGGGGAAGAGTCGGTAGGGGGTTGCTGCTTGCTTTAAATGTACATGAGGATAACCCATACACTGAATGCAAATCTCGATCTTCCTGGGGGGGGAAATGCAAAGACGCTTGAAAAGATATTCCATTGCTCAGTTTTTTTGTTTCCAGTGATATGAACGTTGTTGAGCAAGGTGCGGAGACGGCCTGAAGAGTCGTGAACCTCATAACAGATCAGGTGATTTTGAACAATGACAGCTCTCTACGTCTGTTCGGCCACTATGCCACATACTTTCCCTTCAAGTCGTCCAGACGATCATGGCAGAAATTAACGGTGCGATACAAGATGCCGTTCTAGCGAACGAGAATTGGTGACCAATGGGTTAATCACAGCATTCAGCACACAAGACGCCATCGATATCGCCCAGGACCAGATCGATCAGCAAGTTGCAACCCTCCTCGACATGGTCCGCATTCTGAGACAACGACGAAATGCCCTTTCTCTTGTCTCTCGTTTACCAGCCGAGATTCTGTGTAGGATTTTTGAAATTGCCCGCGACCAGGATGAGATGCATCACGCCAGCCCGCGGATGTGTATATCTATCTCTCAAGTCTGTTCTGCATGGCGAAACACTGCGATGCATTTCCAGGGCATGTGGAATTTCATTCATTATAACTACAACCTAGAGTGGGTGACGGAGCTCCTGGTCCGGTCGGGAACAGGCCCACTCCGAGTGGATCTAGACGCTGAAGCCAACGAAAGTATGGTTCCATTGGTTTTTTCAGATGCTGCGAGCAAACGATTTCAGGAGCTCAGCTTGTGGGGCTTGTCACCTCTCGAATTCGAGACGCGTTGCAGTAGCATATTTGGAGGCCATGCCCCGCTGTTGGAGACCTTACACATTTCATTCGATCCCGATGATAACTCCATCATGCGCGAAAGGTTATTCTCGGAGGGAACCCCGCGTCTGCGCGACTTGACCCTGCGAAACTGCCCCTTGCCTTGGAATTCACCGATGCTCAAGAGTCCCCTGACCCATCTGATACTTGAGCTCCCTATCGGAGCAGCTGCGATGACATGGACTATGAGCCAACTCACAGCCGTTTTGCAACATCTGCCAGCCTTGAGGGAGCTTGTCCTGTGCCATGTCTTGGCCCCCATCGAAACCGCAACCACTCCTGTGCCTTTGCCACGGCGGCACATCCCCCTCCTATACCTTGAAGATCTTTCTATCATTGCAGACAATTTCAGCCTGTGCACCTACCTGCTGGATAGGCTTTCCCTAACGCCGACTCCATTTATTCGCCTCGACGGCTCGTTCAATGAGTCTCAGAGTTGGACACTTCAATCATTTGTCGACTCACTTTCCTCCATTCGCGACATGCTACAGGTACAGCATAGCGTAGATGCGGACCCTTCTCCCGGGCCACTCCGCACAGCATCTTTGACCTCCGATTATGCTTATCATCTGGCATTTGCCGCCTGGAGCAACGTAGAGCCAATACCTCACCTATACGGAAAGCCGGTCATAAAACTGTCGCTCCCGGGGCGTGCACAAGACGTTGCAGCGATACCGAGCCTGATGGCCGCGCTTCCTCTGCGAGGACTACAGAAGATCATGTTCCACCATGATTTTCCGCAGGAGTGGTTGCAGGCGCTCGTTTCGTTAGAGCACGTCCACACCATCCGCATTACGAACCTCAGACAAGGAAGTAACATCCTCAAGTGGCTTGCACACAAAAGTCCGGCTCCATTGCCTCAATTCCCATTCCACGCTTTATCAAGGCTGGAGATGATCTCATGCACTTTCAACTCGAGTCCTGGTACCGTTGAATCCGGATTTGCATGGCTGCAGACCGCGTTGAGCAGGCGACATAGGCACGGACACAGAATTGCCGTGCTTTACCTCAACGAGTGTGACCTGAAGGAACACCAGCTACTAGAACTTGGGGAGTTTGTGGGGAGGGTCATTTGCGAGCCATGGCTGAATACCGCTGTTCCACGGTATGATTCGGATGCAAGTGACGACTGAGGCGGCAGGACTACCAGGTTTGCGAGAATGTAAATGGGTTGAGGAGCATCCATTGTCTTCACAGGTACATAGCTTAACTACATGGTAACCGCCTCCTCTCACTCATTGAGAATTTCAGGTCTCCTCTCTATAGCCGGAACTCGATCTGAACGGCGCCGCTGCTGATTCTAAATTTCGGAAGGCTTATTTGTGCATCATCAACACCATATCTCCCAGCCTTCGAAAAATAGCTTCCGCATTGAGAATGGAATGAGATCGATTGAAGGGAAAGAAACAAATACGAAAGAATCTAAACTAATCTTGTCGTGTAGCACAATCCTGATCGTGGGTTCAAGCTCAAGTCCCGCGCTAGGAATTCTCGACACACGTACATGTCAGATTGTTTTTCTTTGAAGCTGGCGATTCTGTTATGATGTTTTATCCTACTCCATTCAGTCCACAACAGACGCGTCGTAAACGGAGGTAGCCAAATTAGGTAGCCGTGATCTTTGTATCTATTTGTTCAGTCGTGCATCAATCTCGGACTTCTTCTTTTTGAACTTTGAACGCGTCAGTCAACTGCCTTGGGTACTACTACTCGCCTACTTCCTCACATACCCCAATGACTCTCATACTTCAATCGTTGGACTATGGAAAATTACTTTCTTGGAACACACTTCCGCCACAATGAAGGCAGCCAAAGTCAGGCTTCATGCCGAATCGGACTCGGATAACCAAACCACTTCGGGACCAGTCATCGTCGCCTGTACCGTCAAAAACGCGACGCTATATCGGCATATCTCGCTTTCCGTCCAGGCCAGATCTCTACACACGCTATCACCGCCTACAGCGGACTGTATCATCTTTCGTTGCCAACTCACGCGCTTCCTTGGGATCTGTCGCATCGTACGCGTTCTTGCTGAATATAGATGTGCGCATCTGCACACTCTGACTCGCTTTGTCTGGGGAACGAAACATCTATACCCGCATATATCCATGTCTCGATGCACTCTGGCTTGGCAGCCGAACTGCCGTTGAAAGGAGGAACATACGAGCCTGCAGCTGTGCCTGCATCTCTGACAATGTCAAGTCAAAGAGCGGTTCATGAGCCGCATTGGCTCCGTTCGGCAACTTTCGGCCGAGCGTGCCACTGCCGATGTATTCAGCCCGATCGTCTTCTTCACTTTCTCCTCATGCTGTGCGAGCTTCCATCTTGATATTGACGGTGATAGCGAAGTCCAATCGGAGCATCGACACGATTATACTACGCCTTGACTTGGCATCGCCATTTTCGACGTGGCTCCTTCCTCGACCTGGTTGACTCATTGTCCTGAGATCAGCATGCTCTTAGCTGCAAGAGATGCCGTGAAACGATGCCCGTAGTTCATCAAGAGAATGCTGGTAGCGTCGCGCATACAAGTCAATGTTGACCGAGCGAAGTTTTCGTTCTATATACTCTGTGCGAAGACGGCTTATTCAATCTCAGCCTTTTGTGATGATATTCCGTACTTCCACAGTCAACATTACCCTTGCGCTTTCCATGGTAAAGTGTGGCTGTCTCTGCGAAGAATGTGCAGCAGACGACTTTTGCGTTTTCTCTCACCTAAGTACTTCGAAACTGTCAATCTTATGCATCCTTATCTTCATCTGCTTCGTAGCGGAGCACGGAAACATTGCACGCACAACAAGGAAAACGTTAGCACGTCGATCTATCACCCTGTATGATGGCGAACCGTGCGAACGCCTATCCTCTGCGACAGGTGCGCGATGTATCATTCCAACATCTTCAACCATGCCTCAGAAGCTCATGTAGAGCTATCCCTAGGTCACTTGCCCTAGGATTCCAACTACATCCTTTTACGGATGCCAGTTCCTTGCTCCAGGCTTCTGTTCACCACCACGTTTCTCTGTTTTCTTGTTGCGATCATTGCTGAAAACTTATGTACCTGATTTTGCCCATAGCTAGAGCCCTATTGGCAGTCCGACTAGTGTTCCCTGACAGACATGGGGTTTTTATACCGACTTGGGTGGTGCTTTCAGTTCAATGCTAGATCTGTCGGTGCCCGACACCTCGCTCTTTGTCCATTTGCTATGTGGTGGCCGCTTATCCCCCACACTTACGTTCTCCCTACTGTTGGCTACTTTTCAACTTCCTCAGAGTCCCCCAACCTCCGACCTACCTCCACCTAGCTCATACCATGCTTTTCCGCGTCTCAGCTACCACCATGGCTCTTGCCCTCACCGTCTTGTCGCTCAGTGGAAGCGCTGCCGCTGTGTTCTGCGCCACGTGCCCCTCGACGATCGTCTACGGAGGACTGACACGTACACTGACCTTGACGCGGTACAGCACCAGTGCTGGTACTGTTCAATGCAAGTAAGTGGATAGCTAGTTGGAATACATGTTTGAGAAGACGATGAGCCGATGCTGATACATGTACATTTATTAGCTATGACAGTCCGCCTATCTCTGGGTTTTCCCCTTACTGTGTGTATCGCGTGAGTACCTATAATTGACCGCTCGTCGCTAGATTGCTGCGGCGGACTGTTTGCGAGCCGCGGAATTGGAGCTGATGATACCGTTATCTCGTTCAGAATTCGGATGGACAAGTCACTTTCACCAACACCGGTCCTACTTTGACCTCGTTACCTGGCTCGTGCCCCAACCCTGTCGCAGTGGTTTCAAGAACCACATGTTAACAGGTGGTGTGAGTATACATATGTGTGATGTTTACCCCGAACTGATGGGTCTGCACTTCATAGATTCTGGCATTGATATTTTGAATCTTAAGCCTCGAGTATGTACAGAGTGCATGTTCATACATCTGTACTATCCAAATTGCAGTATCCCAAATCCCCATGACCTGCCAGTGAATTTTGCTTGAATCATGGAACCCCCATACTTAGATTGTTGCAGAGACAAAAAAGATCCTGCATTAAGAGAGAATCGAACTCCCGGCGGGTCGATAAACGCGTACCTAGTGAGTACGACACATTCATTCATGGCAACGACCCAGGTTACCACTACCCCATTAATGCCTGAATCTCTCTTGTTGCGGCTCCCCGACATTCCAAGCATCCTAGGCATGATATAAGCAGTAACAAGTCCACAGAGCCCAAAGACTCACTGACTGGGATACAGACGACGTCAAGCCCTAGAATTTGGGAGACGGATGTCCTAGGCCAAGTTCCTTTTACCACCGGGGATCAATACTGCGGCTCGTTGTTTTTAATGGCGAAGGCAGATAAAGTTAAGAGCAGACCAGATTCCACATGCCAAGCCTTGTCCCGTCCTTTGCAAACTTGACGTCCATTTGTTTTGTTTGATATACTTCCTTGAGCTTCCCCTCTCTTGTTGAGTACTGAAAGAGCTCCCCATAGATAACCATGAGCTGCCTTTGTCCAGATTGTTGGATGGCGATTGACATGCCACAGCCGCCAAGGGCTCGCAACTAGAGTGACATCGAAGGACATCATGTCGGTACCGTCGAAGTCAAATCATGCTGGATAATGAGCCATATGGGCTCCGTTCAGGACGCGTTCGATGTATCATGTCATCTGCCGTGGATGAGGTCAAAGGTATATTTGGCGACGCGTTCAGGTGTTACTCTTCCAGCGAGCCAATCAGCTCCTCCTCTTGACGGTGCTTGTGATAGAGATCAATCCTGTTCGACGTTTTCGCCGATTCCCTTCTGACGTAGTTGAATGTTCGCGTACGTAGACGCTCTGTCATCCCAGGTTGGAAGAATTAAGGACGCTCCCACGTATAAAGCGCCTGTACAACATGTTTAAGGTAGCAACTAGGATTACAGGATTGCGGGCGGCTAGGTCTCGTCGGTGTTCTCGTAAAATAATTCCAAGAGAGACGCAGTGGGAGCTTGACTGAGAGTTGGTGGGAGCAGAATGTGGTTGAGAGTATTCAACCGGATATCGCGGCCCGCAAAAGTCAACCAAAACGGGCCCGAGGTCGGCGGAGGCCGATCGATTCTGAATATACCACTACAACCTGGACCGCCGTTTAGAGCACTCACACTCCGTCATCTCCCTTTCTTCACGCCATCCATCTCCCCCCCTCCCCCCTCGCCACTCTGGCGCCCACCATGAATTTCTTCAAGACCAAGCCTCGTACACCGCCAGATCTCGTCCGTGGCCTGCGAGATGCCATCCCAAAGCTCGAGACGAGTGCACCAGGGGGTGAGACTCGGAGAAAGGTAGGAGGGAATCTATTACATCTGTCCCAGGAGGACTGCGTCGCCTTTCCCTGCTGTTGAACGGCTTGTTGACCAATGCCACAGGCAAATGAAGACATCTCGAAGAATCTGCAGCAGATCAAGTCCCTCCTCTACGGTGATGGCGGTGCGTCATTAAGTGTTCGAGTAAACGGTCGAGGTATTGATGACCATATAGATCCCGCACCGGAGCTGGTAGCCCAGCTGGCTCAGGAGACATACCAAACAGACCTACTACATCATCTCGTCGTACACATCGCACGGTTCGAGTTCGAAGCTCGGAAAGACGTGGTGCAGATCTTCAACAACCTCCTGCGGCGGCAGATTGGCTCACGCTGGCCGACAGTCGAATATCTATCCGCAAAGCACGAGGTGATCTTTGCGGCCCTCATGGGCTATGAGAACGAGGAGATAGCGTTGAACACGGGGATGATCCTGAAGGAGATGCTGCGGCATGAACAGCTGGCAAAGGTACTGCTGCATTCGGACCAGTGAGTAGACCTTCCAACTGCATACGTTGTTGACCGACCTAACAATGGCAGGTTCTACAAATTCCCCCACTACATCGAGACGACAACGTTTGGCATCTCGTGTGACGCCTTCGCGAACCTCAAAGAAACGCTGACGCGGCATAAGCCCATGGTGGCCGATTACCTCGACAAGAACTACGATCGGGTACGTCCCTTCACTCGCCTGACCATACCTTCTGCCAGCCTCCCCTGACTCAACATTGATTCTATTTTAGTTCTTCTCCTCATTCACCACGCTAATTTTATCCAACAACTACGTCACGAAGCGGCAATCGCTCAAACTCCTCGGCGAGATCCTGCTCGACCGGGCAAACTTCAATGTGATGACGCGGTACATCGCCAGCGAGGCCAACCTCAAGATGATGATGAATCTCCTCCGCGAGAAGAGCAAGAACATCCAGTTCGAGGCGTTCCATGTGTTCAAGGTCTTCGTCGCCAACCCGAAGAAGCCTCCGCAGATAGAGTCCATTCTTCGCAGGAACAAGGAGAAATTGCTCGTCTTCCTCAAGAGCTTCCACAACGATAAGGACGGTATGTGGCCGTATGCCATTCACGTAACCGATGAACACTTATGATTGTTTTCAAGATGAGCAATTCAGCGATGAAAAGCAGTTCCTTATCGTGCAGATACAAGGCCTTTGAACAGGCTTCCCGCCATCCCGTTATCGCCATCCAAATACCCCGTCCACATTGCACGCTTCACACTCCGTAGCGCCCTCTCACTCTCGGGAGACTCTTTCAGTCAACCCTGGGCCACCTACATGGTAGCCTCGCCTCTGCCGTTACTGCCGGATATCCCGCGTCGTCGTTGTCCCATCCATCTTCATCCATGATACCAGCACGATCTCAGACCACCCACTCCCCACAACATCAATGTCACCACCCATACCTAGTGCACTGTACATGCAAGGACGCTGGCGCTTTGTTCACTGTTTGTTACCGTACTTAGTATTGTAAATGTATCATCGTATTCATCATCAGCTCTTTGATCATTAAGCTACCAGCATATCATTGTGGTGTGTGATTCGGTTGCTGCATGCCTGTTGCCCATGGTGTATGATTAATTCAGAAGCAGCTTTGTCGCAGCGCTGCTTTAGAGGAAAAGAAAGGATATGGCAACAACGAGCGAGGTGTACATCCTTGATGAAACATCTAGGAAGCATTAATGGGGTAGTGGTAACCTGGGTCGTTGCCATACTTGTCGAGCATATATCGACCCGCCGGGAGTTCGATTCTCTCTTAATGCATGCCCGTGGCCAGGTGTCTAACAATTCTTTTTTATATATGTACGGTACGGCATGAACATTCTGGCAGGCAGTGCTCTAATGACAGGCGCTTGGGGGTAAGATATCAGCGTTGCGGAAGCCCCGTAGCCGCAGAACGACATACACGAGATGCGACTCGCCGTAAGTACCTCAACAAACGGCCTTGATACCACTTGGGCGGGGTTGCGGCACGCCCCTAACAGCTTCCATTCTCCCACCAAAACCAAACAAGCCGCACAGTGTGGACGGCGTTCTACGGCGTTGGGCGTCTGTTCTGTGATATCACGCTGGCATGATGCTGCTGCCTTTCAGTGCTTCTGAGTCTTCCAATTCCCAGTCTACACTTCTCTTGGTTCACCTTGTCGATCCAACCAAATGACGACCTCGAAGGATGTATATCTTGTCCTCGGTGGGGATGTCTTCGTCGGCAGGCACGTTGTTGAGCGCCTGAAAGCACGCGGAGATACGGTCTCCGTATTCGACACTTCCCAGAAATACGTTGACGTGCCATTCTACTCTGGTGAGATTACCGTCCCTGAGCAGATTTCGAGCGCCATCCAGCAGGTACGCGCAGTTCTCTCAATGAATACGAGAACTTTCATCGAATGACTTGCACAGAGCGGAGCGACTTGTGTAATACACACAATCTCGCCTCTGTCCATCCGAAACCGTGACAACCTCCAAATCTTCCATCAAGTCAACGTTGAAGGCACGAAAAATGTAATCGAGGCTGCGAAAGCAGCCGGGGTCCTCAAACTCATCTACTATAGTTCTTCTGGTGTTGTTTTCGATGGCAGCGACATTGTCAATGGTGACGAACACTTGCCATATCCAAAGAAACATCTGGATCCCTACACGGAGTCGAGAGCCATGGCCGAAAAGCTCATTCTTGATGCCAATGGCCAAGGGGGACTGAAGACGGTGTGCATTAGGCCTTGCGGCGTGTTCGGGTGGGCTTCGTTCGATGCTTCATCTACTCTGTGTATCTTGATTTCTGTCTCTAGGCCAGGAGATCCCGAAACCCTCGTTGGCGCTTACGAGTCCTGGAAACGAGGCATGACCAATGTTCAACTCGGTAACAACAAAAACCTTTTCGACAAGACCTACGTGAGCAACATCACCCTCGCCATCGCTCTCGCTGCCGACAAACTCCATGTCTCGGACGAAGTCGCCGGACAGGTTTTCTTCATCAGCAACAACGACCCCTGGCCCTTCTGGGACTTCATGCGCGCGCTTTGGGCTGGGTTTGATGCCATATTTCCTGATCATCCAAAGACTCAGAAGAAGCCGGTCGTTATTCCTCGCGCATTTGCTATGCTGCTGGCCTATATCATGAAATTCGTGGGCTGGCTCAAAGGCAGTAGAGAGCAAACGCTTACGCCGTACACTGTTACATTTGCAACGGCGACTATGTATTTCAATAGCGCCAAAGCGAATAAGGTGCTTGGTTACGAGCCTGAGATCGGAGTGCGCGAGGGCATTCAGAAAACTATGGAGGTTAGTTGCTCTCGTTTGTGAAGTGGTCCTCATCCTCAATGTCGAACTCGTTAGTGGTTCAAGGCCGAGGTGGAAGCGGGTCGTTGCGACTAGAGCAATGGACAATCCGCCCATCTTTTTGCTAGATACGTGCTTGACGTGCGGTGCAAAATTTTGCTGATGTCGCGATACATGGGAGGGAAATGAACCTTTCTAGAATACAGACCTCTGTTCAAATTTGATTAATCCAAGACGTCGTTCACGGACAAATTACGCGGAAAAGGCATACCGGGGAGAAGCCAGAGATGGGTGGAGTGTTGTAGCTAATTATATGTATTGTCCGTTAGCGTGATAGAATCATGGAGGTACTAAATAGGCACTTACGGGCACTGCACGTTGTCGTGAGGGTCCGCTGGAGTCCATTGTAGAAAATCGATGGGGGACATACGGGAGGACTTGATATAAATACTCACTCAAGACAGAAACCAGGTTGGAAGCGTGCGCATCCGCCTTTGAGGGCCTTTAAAGTAACTGAATAGTGACCTCAGAACATACATCACAACATGCTGGTCAAGTGCACGGGATTCCTTGAAGCGGCGGCTATTACGGAGCATGCGGCGAGGTGTGCTCACATGGCACCGCGTTTTCGGGATGGAAGGGGAATATAAAAGCGGTGATATCATGAACAGAGCATCGCTGTCCCCCACAAACCATGAAACGCTGCCCGAGAGCGTCTGTGGCGAACCTGAGGTGACGGTGGCTGTGAAGCCCGCAACACCGCCGCAATTGATTCAAAAGTGTTGATCACCCCGCCGCCTCTCAACCATTTTCTCACTCCTCTTCTGACCTCGTTCAACTCCAACTAAGTTACACTTTCTCTCCACCTTATCAACGTTGAGCAACTACACCCTTACGCGGCTACATCCTACTACGCCCTCGACTATCGCTTCTGCCAGACCATCGTTGACCCTTATGGCTGCAACCACCAATACCACATCCTTCACGCCCGACAACGCCCTCGACCTCCTCTTTTCGCCCGACCTTATCTCGCACGAGGTTAGAAGTGCCTTACATCCCGATGTCCACGTACGGCCCCCTTTCTTCCTCAGCATACGTGAACGAGTCCTGACAGCGCTCACAGATTCGCCCGTTGGCATCCACCGACTACCGCCGGGGTCACCTCAAGGTCCTCTCCGTCCTCACTACCGCCCCAGACCCAGGCGAAGCTGCATGGCTCGTCCTCTTCGACAACTTACGTGCCGCCGGCCGCACGTACTACACCCTCGTCATCGTGGACAAACGCTCGGACCGGATCGTCGGCGTCGGCACAGTGTTCCTGGAGCGCAAGTTCCAGCGCGGGATCAGCTGCGTCGGGCATATTGAGGACATCGCTGTGGATGAGAACCAGCAGGGGAAGAAGCTCGGGCTGAGGATAATACAGGCGCTGACGTATATCAGCGAGAACAGCGGCGCGTATAAGACGATTTTGAACTGCAGTGAGAAGAATATCCGTACGTCGGCTTTTCTTTCGGGTCCGCGTTCGTTGGTGTACTCATGGCGTTACTTTTCCATAGCCTTCTACCAGAAGTGTGGGTACGAGAAAAAGGAATGTGAAATGGTGCGTTTGGACCCTGCTACCGAAGCCATACTTCTGCTCACGAGCCTTTCTTCTCCTCGCAGGCACGGTATACCCCTGTGCGTGCCCACACTCCTAAGCTGTGATTGGAGCCTTCATCTCTGGTAGAAGGACGGCAGCATCAATGGACTGGACAATATACTTTAGATATGGTGCCTGCCTCTTTGGGTCCTATGATTCCCGGACATTCTTACATATCCTAATTTAATTTCTTGGGTACATATTGCGTAGGCTTCATTTCACTATTTTGGTACAAATGCATCCTATAGTTCTATAGTTCGAACGAGTTGTGCTCTGCTCCGGTTGCAGCACTTGTGACTATCAAGCTGTTGAGTGTCTGATTTTCCGCGACCTCATTTCCAACCGCAACAGTCATCAATGCATCAAGTCGTCCTCCCTGACGTCACTTTTGTATGCGGGCCACATGTGGTGATAGAACAGTCGGAATAGTAGACACTCCTGGCGGGGAACAGATTTTCTTGAGAAAAACCTATTAGATAAATGTCTTCTCAGTTCCGATTAGTTTTTCTTGAGATAAATTTTAAGTTAATATTTCGAAAAATATAAGAAAATATTAAAAAATATCCGAAGTTTTGTCTGAGAAATACAAAGCCTTTATCCTGCTTTTATCTCCTGAAAATGGTTGGAAAAAGGTAAGGTTTTTCCTAACTCTTTCACAGGAAAAAGGTGACGTCTATCCCATGTGTTTTTCTCGAGATTCCTTTATCATTTTTCTTTCAGGTTTTTCCAAAGAAAATCTATATGTTTTTCCTTAGAAGCGAGATAGAAAGACAAAATGTTTTTCCTAACAAGCACGTAACAGTAAAACGTCACGTTTTTCCTAGGCAAAAGGGCGGGAAGCAGGATTCGCGTCGCTCATGGTCACGAAGATCGCGCGCTCAATGGCTCACTCAGCGACGCGAGTCGCGCGACATGCCGCGTTAACTGGATCATTTCCCCAAGTATGGATTACAGTACATAGCGACGTAAATCACAAAGTAGTAGGTACAAGTAGTCAGGTAGAGTAGGTCGTGTCTGAGAGTGTATGGTAAAGAATGAAGAGAAGAGGAAGCGTCCGACAGCGAGTCGGCGGGGGAGCCTCTTCGCGTAAAACCTGTGATCTCCCAGAATTCACATATGTATACCCTACATTTGCAGCGAGAAGTATGTTTTGATATTTTGATCGTTTGGTTTCCATCCACTACATCTAACCTTGGATGGCGATGACACCACCGTCAACCGTCTCCCCAATTGCCATCTTTACCGTGACGTCGTTGGCATTGGCCAGTCGTACTTGATTCGGATCATTGAAGTCTGGGTTTTCCAGAGTGCAGGAAGAGGACGCACGCTTAGTACACTTGAAACAACCTGTGGTGTTCGCACTCGAGTTTTACTTTCAGTGCACCTCCCTTTCTTAACTCGCGGCCTTTTCCCAAATGTACGAGTCGTCAGTATAGGGTACAGGATCACGAATACAACGTATGAATTCATGCACTCGTTATATGCTCAAATACGGCGTGATCGCTTCTATGCACATGAACAACGAGTGTAATGCAAAGGTCGTTGCTGTCGAACATGGCGGTCTCGGTCCAGATATGATTCACGTCTTTCGGCTCGTCGACTGGAAGGTTTGGCTGAGGTCACGAGTAACTATGACACCGGTCTATGCGTACCTTTCCTTGCGTAAAAGTTTGTGCTGACACTGATATCACGTCAAGTCGCCATGGTGTTGTATCGGGTTATGTGGAGGACTGCGAAGTCGGTGATGAAGTGCAACTGCCAATCGAACGGTGAGAAGCAAACGAAAGGAGTAATGACAATCGACTTAAACTATACACAGCAGGCGCCGTTCCGCCGCATCGCCCATCAC